TGCTGAGCGCTCCCAGGCAGTGGAGGTGGTCAATCACGGCTCCTGCGGCTGGTGCACAGTGGAGGCAGAGGTGCTGATGAGGTCTTGAGGAAGGCTCTCACGTGCTTCCTGCATCCGGCGCCGTGCCCTCTGGAAAGCCTCTACAACACAGCACGTGACAACAAGACAGAATGCATCAGACAGCCTCAGGGAAGGGGAGGGATGAGTCTGTCCAGTGAAATTCATGTCTCCTGGAGCAGGAGTCTTACTTCCTAAGTTCCACCAAGAAAGCACCTGACCCTTGCTGCTCTCTTCACTTATTTCTAGCACTGTCTTTGCTCTGCACAACAGACTCAGAGACAGAGCCTGTGCATCAGCGCCACAAGCTACGCTCAGTGCCAGGCACGACTGAGCAGGTCAGCTTAGGCTCTGCCCTCACAGAGTGGTTATCCCTCCTGCCTGCTGAGAGCTGATGCCTCTTGAAGTTTCCAGCTCAGATCAGAACATTTAACCTCTGCTATGGACTCAGAGAGCTCACAGAGAGGGGCAATTATCCCCACAGTAATGGATTCTCCTGAAATATCCTGCCCACTCTGTAAAAAGGGGGCAAAAGTGAGCCAAAGGCTCGCCAGGGAGAACAACACTGAAAGCCCTACCCAAAACGTTGTAGACAGAGGTCTGCTGGCTGAAGTCTCCAAGCCGGTCCAGGACACTCTGCCTGTGCTGCCTCAGGGCACTGGTTTCCAGAAAGGCTCTGCACAGAAGTACAGCAGGAGGTCAGGGCTGCCAAAACATATCACACGAGATGGAGCTGGCACTGACTTTGCTGCACTTACTTAGACTGCTGCAGGCAGTAAAGCCGAAACGTGACGCTCCCTGTCGTCTCTGTGCGAAAACCTAAGCGGCTCAGACGCTCTCCCTGCAAAGACAGCACAAGGTTAGAGTAACCACAGTCTGCCACTTGTTGCAGCAGGCTGACCCTAGTGAAAACAAGCAGGCCCCACCAGGAGCACACACTCCTGCAGGCACAGAGTTTCTCCCTTCCCCGCTGCACACAGAAAGCGACGTCAGAAAGAAGGGCAGCCGGTTCCGGGCTGTGCTGGGGGCAGGATCTAAACACCAGCAAGCTGATAGTGCAGTGCTGATAGTGCTCAACAACTGTATCAGGGCTCATTCTTCCAGCGAGCACCTCTGCAGCTTTCTTCAGAATGTGAAATTTATGCCTGCCTCTCATCCATTGGTTTCTTGCTTCAGGAAGCTGTTCCAGGTGCCGCACAGCCCAGATTCCTTACAAAAACACAGGAAGAAGTCTATAGCTGGTAAAAACCACTATAATTTATTCACAAAAATTTCCCTGTTCCTCTGTCCATGCTCACAAGTCTCACAGAGGAGACATTTCTTTAGTCAGAGGGAGAGCACTACCAGCTCATCCTTGTTCAAGTCTGGCCCAGGCTGTCCACAAACATCTGAAGCGGAGAGCACAATCTACCATCTCCCAGCAGGAGCAATGCCCTGCAGCTGAGCCCACCTTGAAGGTTGATGGTATCCTGACGTAGGTTATGTCTTCTAGCTCAGGAGATCCACCAATGAAAAATCTCCTCAGCTCAGCGACTGTCCCCAGCTCCACAGGGCGCCAGGTAGGGATGGTGAGCATGTGGAGACCTGACCCAGGATAACAGAACATCTTAGCACCTATGACCAACAATCCATTCAGAGTCACAGAGGACAGCATGGCAGATGGATACCTGCTGACCCAAACCAAAGTAGGCTGGAAACTGAAACACTGCATAGTATCTCTATAACATTTTCCCAGTAAGTCAGCCCCATACAGTCACATAGTCAGCACTGACAGTACCCCTGCCCACGAGGAGCATCTCCTTACTACACGTGGCTGTCGGAATAGTTGTGACCCTCAGACTCCATTTGGAACAGAGAGGACTACTGCTATCGTAAAGACGGATGTGCAGCATCACCCCAGAGCTTTGTCACACAAGATTTTGTGATGGAACCGCTGGAGAAGCAACACATGATGCTTCTCAACAACAAGGCAGAACTGTGCAGGATGCATCAAATCCTTCTTTGCTGCCTCACAGACAGCTAACTATCCCCTTCAGTGTGCAAAGGCAAAGCCTCCCCAGGATCAGCTGAATCCATTCCCAAGAGGACCACTCAACTCCTTCTCCCAGACAATTAACATAATGCCCCAAGTATGTTTTACCTGGAGATGATGGCAGCACCAAAGAACCATATCCTTCAACACGATACCTCTGCCAGAAATCCAGGGACAGGACCTCAAAGTAGAGAACAGGCCACTGAGGGAGACTATCTGCAAGGAAGAGGAGCAGATCATAGCTTTGTGAGGGAGACTATCACATACGAAAAAAAAAGCTGAACGCCCAACTTCACTAGCAGGAAGTCCTTTCTGTATTTTTTCTACAATGACAAACCTGGATGTATGGGTGATTATTTTCCCCTGTAAAAGCTGAACTCTCAGATTTGAGGATGTAAACAGAATTATTGATATGATGTTAAAAATCTGGGAAAATCCCTTGTTTTGAAAAGAAGTCTAAACTGGTTCCTCAATTATCTCTGGGCAGATGAGACAATCTTTCATGAATGAACTGATGCCAAACAGGGTAACCTTTTATATCTCTGACCTTTCCCACCATTATTGGGGGATGATTAACTTGGATTCTCCTACAGGTTTCCAAGCTTTTCTTTTTTCCACAGTGAAGCAAACTCATCGCGTTTACTGTAGGCTGAAAATTCATTAGTGTTGGTTGAATACTCAAATCCACATTGGATTCAAGAGGCAAGGCACGCCGCAAAGCTGATCCTACCAACTGCAATCCAAAGAGCAATGGGGCTGGTGAGGAAGCAGCAGTAGCATAGTGAAGTAGCAGGAACAGACAGCAGAGAAGCCCAGCTTAAAATAGAGCTGGAATTTTCTAAATGACATAACCTACACAAAGCTTATACAGGTCACTGAATGTGTCTACAAACGTAAGACTCAGCACGGAGTTTTAGTTGCACACAAAAAAACTGCCTGTTTCTTCTGCTGCAGAGTCCCAGGGCTCTATGAAGTACACCAGGCATGGCAACACAGAGGAGCATGCCAGGCATTTTGAGACAGATGAGCTAAGATCCAAGTAGTTTTGCAACTGGATAAAGCTGACTATGGTCTGGAAGTAGAGCAATATCAATGAATTCATGCAAATGCTAATGCATTGCTGGGAAATACAAATACAGCACATGTCCAGAGGTTGTATGGTGACAGGGTGAGCATTTGCTGAATGAGCAACTTTCCCCTTTGTTTAAAACTGTCCTTTCATCTTGGTGAGGGGCAAACCACATGCCAGTTAGCACGATGCCTACACTGCGGTCAAAAGACTTCAGAGTTTCACATTCCAGAGCAACAAGGAAACCCACCTTCTGACTCATCTCCTGGGGTGAAAATCATGTCCAAAGTGAAGAGGTAGCAGAAGTATGCCACATCATCCTAGAAAAGCAACAAGACAGAGATCAGATTCCTGGACAAGAGAATCCATCACTAGCATTGCAGGAGGCACAGAGAGCAGGGAGAAAAGAACTAATGGTGGAGAAGAGGTAATGATACCCAAACAAGATCAATCACATCACACTAACAAACATCTGACTGCATGACGGACCTGCACACACTCCCAGGTGTCACATTGATGGAACAGGCTGTTAAAAATAATGAAAAAGGGGAAAG